AATTCACTTCGTGAACTCGGCAACCAGGTTACCGTTTTTTTTTTTTACCTCCGGTTTTTTTTTTGGCGGTATACATAATGGTGGTCGAGTAGATCATGTTGTGCGGGGTGGAGAACCCTCGCTCCGCGCAAGGGGGATGATCGCACCACGTTGTGTTAAAGTGGTCAAGCACCCTCGAGGCAGTTACACGGTGCTTACAACTGTCTCTGGAAGTGAAAGCACCAGAAAAAAAATTAATTCATACGCAGCTGTCATCCGTACGCAAGGAAGTAAGCACAAGATGCCGAACACCCTTACTTAGCAGGATGCAGCGCACCCTTCATGCGACTCGCCGAATACCTCACGGCGCTTCTCGCTTGGCGATGTGAGAGCCTGGTCGGGTGAGAACCCGGCGTGCTCCGTCCCGGCTTTGTAGGGATGCGAGGTGAATGGTCTAACGACTACGGCATGCACGACTATGAGTACACCCCCCCCGTCCACCTACCTCCCTGCGCAACTGGGTAGGGAAATACAAGGGAGAAAACGCGCGCGCTGTTCGTCCGTCTGATATCTCGTACCCCGGGGTCGTCGTTTCTCGTGGACGGATGCATCCAACGGAAGTGAAGCACGGACGGACCTGTTCAACCACCAACAAGGACGCGCGAAATATGCCATTGAAACATGGAGTTAAAATAAATCAGACCACACGATCTTTCGGTACGACGTGGAGATCTGACGTGCAATAAGGCCGGGCACGACATCCCCAATCCCAATCCCAAGGAACGATATTATATGTACCTGCTTGAAGAAGTAGCCAGATCTCAGTTCCGGGCGTCGATTACGAGATCCGCAACACCATCATCTGTGTCTCCGTCACTCCAGTTGGAGTAGACGCTCTTCTCGCTCACCCCGTTAGGTTCCCCATCGCTGGAGCCAGATTTGCCCGAATCCAAATTGATCAGATCGTCGAGTGCTCCGACCGAACCGTCGTCGTTCTCGTTCGACTCGAGGTCCTCTAACTCTGCGCTCTTAGATTCCGCGGCCTCGCCAGCGGAAACGCCCTTGCTCGCAGGCGACTCGGGGGTCCCCGCCTCCACGTCATTCTGTTCCGCTCCATGCGATTCCTGCTGCCTCATAGAGGCGGCAAAGAGTGTCATGGCATTGGCAACACTGTAGGATGGCCGTGGTCGACTCTCGATGGATGGCTGGGGTCGGGAGGTACCCTCTACCCGCCTAGTTTGAGAAGCACCCACCGTAGCCCGTGACGCAGACCTCCCCCTTGCACGCACGGGTGCCGGCGCCGCCCGCCGTAGGGGTGCAACGATTTCTGCAGCCGCAAGCGAGCGAGCACTTCTTGTTCGTGCACCTGCACCTGTTGCACAGGGCCGTGGCCGGATTGCAACCACACGCAAGCGTGACTGTCTTTCGGTCAGGGGCGATGTAAGCACATACTCGGACAGGTCAAGCACGCAGTTCTCCTTTGTGAGTTCGTCGCCTTCGCTCCCCTTTCCTCGTGGGTCGACGCTCCATCCTTTGCCGGCAAACTCTGTCGCCGGCATGGCCTCCCTCAGGCCATTCTGCCAGTACCGGAAGATGGCGTTACCTCGTTCTGCCTGCTTGCGCAGGGAAAAAAAAATGGACAGGTGGCTGTCGNGGCCGTGTCCGGATTGCAACCACACGCAAGCGTGACTGTCTTTCGGTCACGGGCGATCTAAGCACATACTCGGACAGGTCAAGCACGCAGTTCTCCTTTGTGAGTTCGTCGCCGTCGCTCCCCTTTCCTCGTGGGTCCAAGCTCCATCCTTTGCCGGCAAACTCTGTCGCCGGCATGGTCCCCCTCAGGCCATTCTGCCAGTACCGGAAGATGGCGTTATCTCGTTCTGCCTGCTTGCGCAAGGAAAAAGAAGACGGACAGGTGGCTGTCGTCTGCTTCTTGGGGAGTTCGAGGATGGCGTAGCGGGTCACGTCCACGTAGCCCTCGACGTCGCCGTCAACGCTTTCGACCAGCTGAGGTGGAGCCAAATGAGCAGTGCCAAACGCCGCTTCAACCTTGTAGAAGAACATGGTCGCCAAAAGCTTCGCGCATTCGTCGACATGCACGGCCCACATGCCATCCTGCTCCTCGAAGAACAGCGGCTTGTCAAACAAACCCTCCGTCCGCACGCTCTTGAGGGCCAGTACCCACATCTTGTCGAACGGCAGCCCGGAAATTGCCGGGAGGTAGTCACAGCCCAAATCCAGGAACGTTAGGACGAACAGACGGACCTTGTTGTCCGTGGGAATCCAGCCCCTGAAGGTCAAAAGCGGCCACGCGGACTCGCTTCCGTCCTGGAGTTCGCAGATGCTAGCGAATACTCTGTTCATCCACAGGAACTTGGTCTCGCCACCCACGACCTTCTGGACAGTCACGTCAACCGCCCCCTCGCCACGAGGCCGAAGCCAACCAGTGGCCATCGCCAGTAGAATGGTCATCCATAGGTCCGTGTCTACCGATGAAACGGTCCACTTGTCGAAGCTTTTCCCTCAGTACTTCTTCGCCCAAACGATGAAGTATATCACGGAGAGCTCCGCCTCGCCAATGTCTGGCCCTCGCTGCCGCTTGACGCCAGGGGTATGGTCGTTTCCTTTTCGAAAGTGAAGGAGTGGTTCGGTTCCGGAAAGCGCCTCCGTGGCACCTACGCCTCCCATCTCAAGGCCTACGCCCTCCGCATCTACAGTTGGATGATCAGCACTCAGACCAGGCTCACTTCCGACGCAATAGAACGCGACGATTCCGTTCGGATTGGTGTCGCCGGTCCAGACTTCATCAGCTAGCACACGCATGGCGAGGTAGGCGGCGATTCCGTCCCGTGCCGCCTTGCCATCGGCTCGAAGCCATGGTCCATACTGTAACGAAGGAACAGGGCCCGTTGACTTCGGGTCGAAGGTCCGAGAGCACTCCCCAAGTTTCTCGGTCCTCCCAAGTTGCTCTTGTCCTTTGATTACCGGCACCAGTTCCTGTCGGTCGTAGCACACCAGGAAAAGCTCGGTTGACTGCAGCCACTTCGACAACAGCTGCCTCTTGAAGTAGTCGATTATTCCCGCAGTTCCCTTCTCGAGATATTCCGGGTGCACCCCTTGGTGGATTGACACGGGAAGATCCACTCCATGAGCGTCGGCATCGAAGAACGGGTCGTCTGCGAACCCATCGGCACAATGCTCTCTGACCCATTTCCTTGGACCTGCCGCCTTGCTGGCGTGCTTGACTCCTGACACGTTTGGGGAGAGATTCCCAACAGGGGTGTTTGGGGATGGGGGGGTGGGGACACAATGTGATGTGGTATGCATAATGATAATAACACTCAGAAACAAGGGTGTGGAGAGTGGGTGAGCTTCGGCTGGGAACGAAAGCACGAGATGACAACCTGTATTGCGCACGCTCTCTTCCTTCACCTCCCGTCGCGTTGGCCATGCTGTCTGTAGCAATCCTCCTCCTCGAGCTTGCTCTCAAGATTGGGTAGGCCACCACCCGTGACACCAACAGAGGGCCTCTTCCTGCGCTTCCTGCCCGACTTGGATTTTCCTCCCGCCCGACAGACGCGTGCACCGGAATCTCTCGCGTCGCGCTTGGTCGCGGCGAGGGGGGTGCGCACCTCAGTGGTTAGGTTACCCTCTCTCCTGCTCCCGATCCGTGGACGTTTACTTGTTACGTCTCCCCCTGAGTTGTCGATCACTGGAGTACGCGGGGTTAGCGTGCCTTCCGTAAGCTGACGAAGGTTGTTCGTGGGTGTGCGAACTTGGATACATGTGCTGGATGATTTTGTGCCATGCAGACTGGTAAGATAATCGTTTGATAGGGGGCACCGATATGATTCACGGGGCCCCTCCTTGCTGTGGGAGCCGCTCTTTGAGCACTCCCTCTTTCGTCCGTGTGAAGGGCGGTCGTCGACCTCTCGTGAAGTTAATACATCACCAACACAGTCTCACCCGATAAATAAGTGGCGTAGGCCGCAAACACTCTAGAGTTTTCCCCTCGAGGGAAGCCACATCGGGATGAGCTCTGTTAATACATCACCAACACAGTCTCATCCGATAAATAAGTGGCGTAGGCCGCAAACACTCTAGAGTTTGCCCCTCGAGGGAAGCCACATCGGGATGAGCTCTGCTGGAGACGAAGAGCGCGCTGCTGCGAGCGGAGAACAGATCCGCCCGCCGGTGCAGGAAGGCCGCGACGTGGAGCTTGCAAGTTTGTAACGTCAGATTTCGCAATAGGCGGCCCTGGTGGAGGAGTCGGTGAAGAAGAAGGAGCCTGGCAGCGTCGTGGCGGATGCAGCCAGTAGTGGCGGCTGGGTTGCTGCCCCCAGAGGCCAACGAGAAGAGCCCACGCTGCCGCTCGGCGGTGGCGGGGGATTTC